TCCCTCAAATATTTTCATGAAAGCAAGAAGGCCCATCACTATCACAGGATGTGTTGATTGCAACTATTTCGTGCTTATCCTGTTAGCTGTGTACACATACATTCAGATCATGTTTGGTTAAAAGAGTAACCGGTTTGGGGCCTGGCGAACCCATATAGGGAAGAGAAATCAATCAATATGAAGACCAGGGGGCACTAGTTCGAACGGTATTGGGTATGGGGACAGTGATCCGAATTACTGCAGGTTGGTGGGCGAGGGGAAGGGCAGCGCGAGGTCAGCCACGAATTCGGTCTGTTTACATAAATCGGGCTTTTAACGTCAAATGGCATCTGCTTCGGCGAACCTTAGTAGATGGTTACCCTTCTTGCGGTTTAGAACACGAGGTTTGTCACATTCTTTACAATCCAGTATACGTGAGACGATGAAAATCGGCGGAAACTTGGACCCAACTTGGACACCAAATTCTTCGGTGCATGCTCTGCTATCCTGAAAAACAAGGGTCTCTCAGCTTCACCGACATACTACCGCAAGTTCATTCACATAAGCAGGCACAGGCGGAGGTAACTTAAAAATCGGGTTTGTCTAGATTGGATTCAGTGATCATTCACTTCGGGTAGTGCAGTATCATCAAAAGAGGCAGCATTGTACTTTTTTTAATTGCCTATTACAACTTGCGTGGTATCCGCCTATCTGTTGAATCACTTTTAAACGGTATGGTGACAAAAACCGAGTTTTTCGAGGCGGTATCACTTTGTTCCGGTTTATTCAACGGCGCTCCATACTTTTGCAATAATCCAAGGCGGTCATTTTCATGCAGTGCTATGTACACGTATTCCGATGTTCATAGATTATGAGAGGAGCCTTATTAGTCAGTTTGAGAGTACTGTCTACAAACATTTCGAGAGCAACTGAAAATGTGAGTGTTCTTTTTTTAAATCGTTGAGCGAAATATATTGTTCAACAGTTAGATAAATTCCAAGCCTCCTGGTTTCGATCAAACAATCAATTTCCGGATACCAAGCGCAATTCCTCGATTGCGCTTGGTATGTAATTTTGAGCATAAAACAAATAACTGTCTGGAAAGAGACAAGTGCTATCCACACTTTGCTTCTGGCGCAGTTTGACAAATATTGCTGATGTCCAGTGGCACTGTTAGCACGCAACTCATGGAAAATATTCATTGTGCTAGCCACACGAATCGGAAATTTTCTAAATTAAAATAGTATTTATTGTTCAATACCCAGGTGAGAGGGGGACGAGGTTGGAAAGAGAGATTTGTGAAGTGTCGGGGGCGGGGTTCGAACACAGGACCTGGTCTGGGAGTGAACACGAACGTTCCATTCTATGTGATTTTTTCATCGGAATTTAACTGTCAAGCACGATGCTCTCTTCGCTCAGTAGCAGTGATAGAAATTTCTTTAGATCACACGTCAGGTTTTGTACAAGAAACATACAAAGTAGATTTCTGCAGTAGAAACCAAACAGTCTATCTTCCCTTATTCAAAGTGATATCCAATCAGCAAATGTGGAATGTGTCAGAAACCGATGCAGAGATGTCCTCAGAAATTAGGATGACCTTACTAGCTTGCCCACGGCGTATAAGAGTTTTGCAATTCAGTTTTGTATCTTTTCAATCACATTTAGTCGGTAGATAAATAAGGTAAAGGGAAACACGCAGTAGGTCAGTCAATCTGATTTGTTAGTCGAATCGTTAGAGAAGTGGTTGATTAGTTGAGACAAATGAGGAGAGAGAGAGAGAGAGAGAGAGGAAACGGATGTCACTGGTATCCCAAGTGCATTATTCTGTTATTCGATGGGATAAAACCACCGCGAATGATGTCAACAATGGTTGTTTGGGAAAATTTGAGAACATGCATCGGCTACTTTTACAAGTACGGTTCAGGTTTACTGTCCCATATACTGGTCGCTTCATTTCTGGCTAGTGTTTGGACAATCGGAAGCTGACTCCCCCAGCTTCGTCGTCGTCGTCGTCGTCGTCGTCGCCGTCAACATCGCAATGGTCAAGCGATATAGGTCAGCATCAAGTCAGCTCACAATCATCATCCATATGTTCCACGCCATTTTCTCCCCCAGTATCCGTTTGATCAACCAATTTCTGCGAGTAAAATTGCTTGAAAAAAATTCCATTCAGTGTGACACATTAAAGTCTCCCTCTTGTCAATATTATCAATATTTAACATCAATAATACTATCGTTATTAGTGAATAACTTTACTGATCCTTAAAACTTGCTGTTTCTTTTCATCTTCATTTCAGGCTGCACTGAATCTGTCGTAATGAAACTACTTCGTTTATTTCATTTGATCAGTCTCTTATGGACCAGTGTTATTGCTACGGAAACAAACAGTCGAATTATCCGTTCGACCAGTTCCACCATATTTGAAGTTCTCGAGGAGGCTGGACCAGGTACAGTGATCATTGACAATCTGCAACATCGGCTTCGATTGCTCCCAGAATACTCGAATGGACAACCACAACCGCCAGGTCAACAGCAACCGTATGCAGCCATCGGTAACCCATCCAGTCCAGGGATAGAGGGTTTGGAAATAAGACCAAATCGTTTTGACGGAACCCTGCAATTAGTGGTCCGTGACAAGCACCGAGGACCCGATAGAGAACGTTTGTGCAATACTCAGTACGCGCGTAAAACCGATCCAATGGCTCCCTGTGATATCACTCTGGTCATTCTGTACGGCAACCGACAAAATCCTTCTTACGCACGCATCACGCTCCGTGTATTGGATACAAATGACAATACACCAACCTTTCCGGACGGTCCGACATTTGAACTGCGAATTCCCGAGGATGTAGGTGATTCTGAATTAGATGCGTCCACAATAAATGTACAAACTAATATTTTACGTAACTTTTACGGTTCGGCTGGAAGAACGGAGCGTACACTGACTGTATTCCCATTACCAACAGCTTTTGATAACGATTTGCCGGTGAATGGAATCAAACTTTACCGGCTATCCACAACCAACGGTCAGGAAGTTGACACCTCATTGTTCACATTGGTTAACAACAGTTCTGATGGAGTAACCGCAACAGGTTCAAGCACTTCGTACGGATCGTCCATATTCCACACGGTTGTTCATAGCCCAGCTCTAAAAGTGATCGGTCGATTGGATCGAGAGAAAACCAACGATTATCGCTTTCATCTGTTAGCTGTCGATGGAGGTGTACCACAACGTACGGGGACACTGAGCATTCATTTAGTCATCACGGATCTGAATGATAATGCTCCGCGATTTCGTAAACCGATTTATCATCAACCTTCATTTGACCAGGCGGCCGAATTGAACGATCGATCAATAGTGTACGAAATTCTTCGCATTCCAGAAACTTTACCTCCGGGATCTAATTTGGTCACCCTAATCGCCGAGGATCCGGATCAGGGCCCAAACGCGCAAATCACCTATCGATTGAAAGATCACCTGACAACCGGGGATAAAACTCCGGCGGGTGGACTGAATCCGTTTGGATTAGTTCAGTCGAATGGATCGGTCACATTGACAGTGTTGCATCAGCTGGACGCAGATGGACCGGGTGGGCGAACATTGATAGAGCATAATAGACCGATCTATGGTCAGTTGAACAAGGTGATCGTGGAGGCAGTAGATCACGGTTCACCACCTTTGACTGGTACCATAACTTTAGCCATTCTGGTGGAGAATGTCAATGACAATCGTCCAGATATTTCAATTCAGTTCACAGATCCAATCAAACTCCCGACAACATACGGACANCACAACCAACAACAACAACAAGACAATGTGGTGGCAGTGGTGGTCGGTGGACTTTTGGAAAATGCTCCCAATCCGGTCACAATTGCTCACCTCACCGTAACCGATGGGGATGTGGTCAGTCAGGAACTGGGCGGTCTTCACCAGGTAGACGGTGTTCGGTGTGAAACAAACGATACCCGATTTGTGCTGGAACAAATGCAAAGTATGTCTGCACAAGGGGCGACAGATAGACAAACTGTGGCTTCTAGTCATGCCAGTCTGTCACTGTACTTTTATCGAATGTCTGTGATCAAACCGGTGGATCGAGAACAGGCTGAATGGCTTTATATTCAGGTCACGTGTGTGGACCAAGTACGTGCGGAACATGCAGGTGGAACTTTCAGTTTTCTTCCAGTCAGTTCTTACACCTCTTCCGTACAACTGACGGGCACAGTAACCGTGACATTGAAGATTCTCGATGCAAACGATAATAGTCCACGATTTGATAAAGACGTTTATCAGTTCACTGCGTTTGAGACTCCCGACAAACCGTCCAGTTATATGTACGGTTCTGTGGGATCGGAAGAACAGCGCACGCGTATTGGAACAGTTCGAGCCACGGACGTGGATAGTGGAAACAATGGTCTGGTTGTCTATCGTCTCCTAACCAATCCCAACGATGCTTTCTATGTAGACGAACGCTCCGGTGAGGTATGGCGTATCGGTTCCTTAGATCGAGAACGTGAAGCTCAAGTAGATTTGCGTATTGAAGCACGGGATAAAGGAGAACCTCCAATGAGTAGCTCGTGTCTCGTCAAGGTGACCATATTAGACATAAACGATCATTCACCGTACTGGGTCACATCCGGTGAGGATCATCCGGCTGCCGGTGCGGGATATGGTTTCGGGAAATCCGAGGATGGTGTGTTCTACTTCTCAGTTTATGAGAATCTTGAAGTCGGGAACACAATTGGATCAATCAGGGCAATCGATTTGGACGGTACAATTGAAAATGACCTGGTCGCTTTGCCAGTACGAAATATGGAAAACCCGTTCATATCGGAAAATGAAGATACAACATCATCAGACACTTTTTTGAAAGAGGCTGAATCAAAAGTAGTCTATCAGATTGAAAATGTTGAGGATGCTCGATTGTTTTCAATCAATTGGCATACCGGAGAATTGCGCCTGAATCAGAAACTGGATCGAGAAACGCGCGCACATTACGAACTGCGAGTGTTTGCGATCGATAATCCACCGACCAAATGGACCGGCGGATCAAATAAATCACCCCCGAACGACTATTGGGAACGAATACGACGTCGTCGATTCACCGCGACCGCAACAATTATCATAACTGTGCTGGATGTGAACGACAACGCACCGCAATTCGATGCACCTTTGGTCGGACAGGAATTTCACTTAGAACCGGGCTCTGTGATGTCCGCACCGGGGACCACATTGTTTACGGCCAAAGCGCATGATGCAGATGCCGGTGAGAATGCTACGGTCCGATACACACTCGAAGGAGGTGGTTACGATTTGGTTGAGATTGATCCGACTACTGGAGTTTGTTATCTTCGTGAGGCGATTCAACCGCAAAAATTGCTCGCATTGCTGAGCAATCATGAATTGCCGGTTAGTGAGAGATTGCTCAATCCCCGTGTGAACGGCGATCAGGCAGAGGGGCATCCGAGTGAACTAAGATCACTTAGTTTAACTTTGACAATTATTGCGCACGATATGGGGAAACCGCATCAGTTGAATAGTTCCCGAACTGTCCGGCTGGTGTGGAACGGTGGAGATCCGTCGATGGGTGATTTACACTCAGCCTACGCCAGAAACTCAATTTTCGGGCAGGTGTATAATGCGGCTTTGTTAAACGGTGGAAAACTATCCTACACCGAACGTCTTCTGATCCCATTGATTGTCGGAGCATTCCTGTTACTATTCATAATCTGCCTCATTCTATTCGGTATTTTTCGCTATCGACGCCATTCGAAAACACAACGTGGCCAGCCATATCAATCGCGTGTTACGCGATCGTTTGTAACACGTCCGGACACAACCAGCACACCGCATTCGTCATGGTCATGGTGCTTCCCGAGCATGACCGGTGTGAAACACTCGCGGGAGGCGCAACCAACAATCAAACATGAAACCGTGGCGCGATCAACCCAACGCCCAGATGTGTATTTATCCGAATCCGCTGCTCAGTATAAAACATCCATCGCAGTGACAACTCACCCCGGGCGGAATTGTAAAACAAGCATGGATGTACTATTACCCAATGGGTATAAATCATATCTTCCTGGTAAGTTATCGGGAAACCGTACTGCTCTTCTTCTACTGCTGCAATTTGTATCCGTTTATTAAGTAGCAAGCTTGGATTAGCCCATTCGATTGTTAAGAGGCGCCAGGCACCGCTTATATTTCATAATTTAAGAAGAACATTACCGGTAATTATAAGGTCATTGTGATTAAGAGCAGAATGTTTGGGTCTAAATTTTATAAATAAAGCATGATTCCTGAGTGTACAAAGTGTGATGAAGTTCTGTTGTGGAGTCCCTGATGATTTATGATAGGTCACAGAAAAATAGTTGATACCATTTCATTTCGACAGTCCCACAGGGCTGCACTGTAGCAGGTTGACAAACATACAAACCGGCTCGTTGTTTCAAAGGTGAATTCATCATGCATACATTGCAAATGAAGCGTGAACTGAAAAGCTACGAAGCACTGGACAGCTGTTTCGACCTAGTTGGGTCTCATCAGCAGTGATGGAATCCATCAACCGAACTGAATCCAATGCTTCCTAGCTTTTCAGGTCACGCTTCATATGCTATATACACAACGAATTCACCTTTGAAATTGAGTCAAATCCTCCCTTACTCATGTGAAACTCGTTGTTATTGATTCAGTGTGTCATTTCTGTTGCATTTCTGTAACATTTCACTTGCATAGCCGATAGAAGAAAGAAGATTGAAAGTGGAAACACAACGGAGATAAAAGATCCCGGTTATTAAGATCTAGATTTTCACCCAGTGGGCATCCCGTGAGTATAGTTAACAAAATGACTCGGTTCAACAGATCACGAAGAAGTCAATTTACCTTCCTTTGAAGGGTATAGCAGCCAAAATCATATAAAGGAGACTGTGTGGTGTTAGCTAAACCTTCCACGCAGCAAAGTTGCATGTTCTGCTTACCCCAAACAAATTATTCAATGCCTGATTCTGGATTATCAATCTATTGAAAACGTATTGAAAATCGGTTCTCGTAGCTCCGGTGAACTGAATTCCATTTCGCCTGTTCTCCCCGAGCTTGGAAATGTGTTTGCAAAATTTTCATCACCAGCCGAGGTGACATCATCACTGTTTATGCCACTTCACAAGCACTGATGATGTCACCTCGGCTGTCGGTGATGAAACGTCACAATCAAATTACCCAGCTCGGCGAACAGGCAAAATGGAATCCTCATTCTATATTCATTCACTTCTTTGATCCTGTGATACAAAATCGTAAATAAGTTGCCCAATCAAGTGATTGTTGGAACGAACCAGTAGAATCCTTCCTTCATTGCTGAGCGGCCCCCGGGTTGGTGTAATGGTTTAACATCTGCATTTATAACAGATCACATCATACAAAGGATCGGGACGTTCCGCCGCTTGTAATGAGTCGACCGCCAAAACAGGTCCGTTATCCTACTATAAATTCGTCTGTACAACCCACCTCTTTGTGGGCAAGACAATCTGTGTTGCCACTTTAAATGCCCAGAGCTCCGCCCCCCCCCCCACTCCTTGCAGCCATAAATTCAATAATCGGATGAATTGACAGATGGCCACTGTGTGCTCATTGCCATTCTCACGTCCGATCATGAAGGAATGAGTGTGAGAGAAAGAGAGAGCTAGAGAATTCACCACCACCAGTGATGTGCAAAGTGGACTTGTCCTTCTCCCAAAACTAATCCCTGTTCGATTAGCACTAGGCAATGTGATGTCCTGGTACGATAACGAAACACTGAAAACCAACTGGAAGACCACTTTGTGTTTCAAGTGAGCAATGAAGGATTTGATTCAATTTCAAAGGTGTATGTGGCAAATAAAGCGTGAACTGAAAAGCTACGAAGCACTGGACAGCTGTTTCGACCTAGTTGGGTCTCATCAGAAGTGTGAATTCATCGAGATCGAACCCGGGACGTTACAGGCGGAACGCAAGCATGCTAACTATGCCACCTTTGAAATTGAATCAAATCCTTCAGTAATCACTTGAAATAAGTAGTCAGGTTGTGAATTTTTCCAGCTGAATCATAACTTGGAGGCTAGTGCTGAGATGAGCAGGGTCTGTGGCCCGTCAGAAGCTTGCAAAGATGGGTTGTGCTATATCGTGTAAATGGAAAATCGAAAACGGTCTAATCAGCTGCTAGGTGGTCGAGTGGGTAGCACACTTGCGTCCTCCCTCTGAGGTCTCGGGTTTGATCCCCAGTTGGGTCGATGGATTCGTACTGCTGATGAGAACCAACCAGGTCAAAACAGCTGTCCAGTGCTGCCTAGCTTTTCAGTTCATGCTTCACTTGCTAGATACACAACGAATGTCTCCTTTGAAATGAGCGAATTAGGATGAGAAAATATTTACTACTACGCATTACGAAGCCGGACACCGGATACGGTGATTAAGCCCACTATCACAGTGGTATAGGATTCACGCTCACAAATCATAAAAATTCTATCGCATTAACTTTTATTCTGATCGCAAAGTCCCTTGAATAAACGAACCCAAATCGGGTGTCTATCAACAGCTGCCTAAGCGGACTCGTAGGACAATGGAATCGACTTTCCGTTCAGGTTTCCAAGCCTATTTGAACGATAAGTTAGTTTTAACCACTATTATCAGTGCTATCGGTGTGGCCTCGTAGCTCAGCTGGTAGAGCATGCGCGTACAAAGCGTAGGCGGTGTCCATGCGTGGGTTCGAATCCCACCGAGGCTACTGAACTTTTCACAATCGACATACAAACTTCAAATCTGCCAAACAACTATTTGAACACTATTATTTTTGCCTAAAATTCTTTGAAAAGCTGAGAAGTATCTAACAAATGTTGGTGGGTACGATTACTGGTGAAAATTTATTGGCCCGATTGAGGATTGAACCAGGAGCTTTTCAGATAGACGAATCGATGGATTCACATGGATAATGATTCTGAGCAATGGTGAAACAGATACACAGTGAGTCCAAGTTAGTTCAGGNTTAAGAGACATATACAGCCCATTGGTGAGGAATATGGAATATGATAATGAAAACTAATCCTCCAAACTATTGTACACAAACACTGACAATCCAACAATTTGTCCAAACGAGTCATGACCCTAGTGGCTAGCTTTCTGATGGGCGAGGTATGATGCCAACAGAAAGTTCCCAAAGATGAATGGTACGATATCGTGTAAAAGCCAAATAAAAAGCGGTTTGGTCAGCTACCCGGTGATCAAGTGGGTGATATGCTTGCTTGCGTTCCACTTCTGGGGTATTGGGTTCGACCCCCGAGCTCGATTAGTTAGGCGCTCGTGGCCGAGTGTTATGGTCACCAAATTATCACAACGACGGACGCGTGTTCGAATCCCACCATCAACAACATTGCCTGAATTTTCCATATATTGTATGACAGCCATCTGATCACCCGACTTCCCCCACCCCCTGAAAATCGTATAATTATGCATTCAACAAAAGAAAGTCAAAGATAGGAATAAAATTAAGATTACGATACTGCTGATGCGATGCATGTCAGTTAGAACCAGCTTTCCAGTGCTCATTCACTTTGCAGTTCATCATTCGTTTGCTTTGCAAACGCACAAATCTATCACTTATAAGCACTTCTGATTACACCATCCATAGAGTCAGTCATGGAGATGTACAATTGTTAATTTGGTATGGCCAAACGCCCCTATTTTGTCACCGCATTCCCCTCGCATACATCAAT